TTTTTCTTTTCTGCCCCCCCCCCCCCCCCCCCCCGCCTTTTCCTTTTCTTGTTTATTCTTAAACTCATTTTTCTGCTTCCATTCCAAATCTATTAGGACTATAGCAAGAAAACCCTGCATAATTTAAAATCTGTTATGGAATGCTTAATTTGTTTTCCTTATATATCATGTTGTAAGATGTGCCAAAAATGTGGTTTCTTTGCATTATAAAATTAAATGAATGTATTTACCTAAATCATTTAAAACTTATTTTTGTATCATCTTTTTCCCTTTGCTTTTCATGCTAGTCCATATACAGAGGATCTCCGGTTTGTACAATGGTTCTATGTATTTTTTTATTGTTCTTTCTGCTTGAAATTAATTTTTTTTTTTCCTACAAATAATAACATGCAATGGTCTTAAAAATCTTTCATTACCTATAGCCATGCTTGTCTAAAAAGTGAAATTTCACCATTCAATGATTTTTTCAAATTAAGAAACTTGTTATTTGATTGCAAAATGCATTAAAATGTAAAAATTATTTGAGATGTGTTTCATAATTGTTATCATTCTTTGTGTGTGTTAATAACACATGTTTTCATTCCTATATAGATTAAGCTTGTCAACATAAACTCAACTGATATTGCTGATGGCAGGCCTTCTATTGTGCTTGGCTTGGTGTGGACAATAATCTTATATTTTCAGGTACTACATTTTGTTATACTTCAGTGTAGCTTGCTCAAATAATGGTTCAGATCATCATTTTATATGGACTGGTGTAGTTCCAGTCTTTCACCATAGCTAAGTCACTTTATAATTAGCCGAAGATCTGATCCTGAATAAAGCAACAGTTGATGGTAGGGGTGCTTCACATTGGGTAAAATTAGATACTTTGGAATAGATTGGTCTGGGCCTAGAATGGAGTTTTTTCATCACTGGAACCTATTCTTCCACTTTCTCTGAAGAATACAACAGAGCAAGAAGAGAAAAGAATAGAATTGTGGATTCTTGCTACAAGCACCATTAGCAACCTCAGTGGTGATTGTGCTGAATGTCTGATTCCTGTACACTTGATGTAGGACAGTAATTAGTTGCAAACAATACATGTAAATGTGCTGATTTCGCTGGGAGATGCAGATATTTGCAAGGACAAAATTTAGCTGTGAATGGTGTGGATTGAGAGAGGTTTGAATTTGTAGAGGAGAAATCATCTGCATTCTGTTGAAGTTAGGTGGGAGGGAAAAATGGTTTTCTAAATCCTGTCCATATGAGTTAACAAAATGAGTCACTGCTCAACAACTAAAAAAAATAACTGATTTTATTGCTCTTCTTCATGGAATTCTTTGGCTTTGGCTCTCTTGTAATGTAGCTTTTGTGTCTCAGGGATGCTGTTCTCCTAAGCACCAACCAGTGTGATGCCTCAATGGTTCAGGTCTCCTTCTCAGAAGAAAAGTTAGCCAGAATGATGTTAACATTTTTATTTTAATTTATAGCTCATTGAGATGAACGGGAAAAATTATACTCCTCAGAGTTACTGAGTTCTCTGCATCAGTTTTTCTTAGGTCATTTTTTGAGTTTTTCTTCAGTTGTCACAAGCAAGTACATCATTTTAACAGGAATGAAAGCAGAAACGCATGAGAGCTGTGGCTCCCATTGTGGCAGGCTCACTCTGTGATGTGACAAATCTTATTTTTTTAAGTAGATAGCATAGACAATCCTGCAATGTCCTCTGGATATAATTTTTTCATGTTAAAGAACCAAATTATTAGTCAGCCTAATGTTCTTAAAACAGTCAAGTTAATGATTTTCATTTGATGAAAGGCATGATGCAAATAACTCATACATCCTCAGCCCTCAGCAAGCACTACTGATGCACTTTGCCTGCAGTACATTCACTATTTTTTCACAAGGTACCTCTAAGCAAAACTGCGATTGAATTTGTGCCAAAAACAGTACAGTGGTAAATAAAGAACTATCCAGATGAGATCATTGAGGTCACTTCCATGCTTTAATTGAATGAACCTCCTCTGAAATTAGTGGATTATTTTATAATTTGAATTCAAGCTAAATGTAAGCCATCAGCTCCTATTTCAATGTCATAATAGATAACATGATACACTTGCATATTATTCTAGCTGTAGAGTGTCAAGAAAGTCAATTATTGCTAGATGTCTTGTACTTCTGAAATTAGGACCATCATCTCGGCAAATACATTAGCATTTTTGAAGCTACTTTAATGTATAGTTAAATAAAACACAGCATACTAATCACAGCTTCTGCCCGACTTTATTTTGTCAGCTGTATTAGGAAATTATTTAAGAAACTGGTGAGAATTAAGAAGATTATCTACAAACAGTCCACTAACATTTTTCCCCATAGATTGAAGAGCTTACCAGCAACCTCCCACAGCTGCAGTCCTTGTCTAGCAGCGCTTCTTCTGTGGAGAGTGTTGTCAGTTCAGAAACTGCGAGTCCTCCAAGCAAACGGAAGGTGGTAACCAAGGTCCAAGGAAGTGCCAGGAAGGCTCTGTTAAAATGGATACAGTACACAGCAGCAAAGTAAGTAACCTTCAAATGAACTCAATGTATATCTTAAGCGCAAACTTTTTTCTTCAGATTCTAAACTCGCTCGGTCAGGGATTGTCCTTTTGCTCTCTATTTGTTTAGCACATATGATCCCTGTGATCATATTTCTTTTCTCTTTAGCAGCTGAGGCTGCTAAATGTTACCATACAACAAGCAAGTAGTAAATGACGATTTGCATTAATTTTACAAGCAATCTTATTTTATAGTTTCTGAATAATTAATGGGATTATCTTTGGCAGAATGAGGAACTGAAAGGGGAATTAGATGTCTGAATGACAATGTATTAGTCCTGCTGCCAAAACAGTCAATGTGACAATGCAAGTCCCACACCGACTTCTCAGTGACAGAGCTTTTAGGAGCAGTAAATTCTGGCACTTGCTGTTGAAAGGCAGGTGATGAAAAACTACGAATATCCTTCTGCAGTTTTTTGATGCAAGGGACATACATATTACTACAAAAATTGCCCTGAATTTTCATTTCATTTCCATCCAAGTTATTTTGGAGTTATTTCTTGCTATCTCTTGTTAACTGGTATAATTATCCCACATTTGTTCTGCTTCCAGAAAGGCTTAGATCAAAGATACAATAGTAGTTTGATGGCTTCCACAATAAGAAAATAAAAATTAAAGATGTAAAAGAATAAAATGGATTTATTTGTTCAAATTAAGGAATGACTGCTATTTGAAAAGATCAATTATGCAAAATGTGGAGGGGAAATGGCCAGTTATGGAGTGGTGCCTCAGGAAAGAAATATAATTGTAAAGATACAGACTTTCTCCAGTCCCCCAATAAATAGAATACAGTAATTTATAGTGCAGTACAGTCTAATTTGACATTCTTCCTATTGCACTGTTGTCAGTAAGAGACAGGCAACTGAAAGTGGTCAGCTGCAATTTCCAGACATGTAAAGAAACAAAATACAAACAATCAAAGAGGTTCATAAATTAAATTGTCGACGTTATTTGGAAGAGAGGTGAAATGTGTTGAAAGAAGCCTAGAGGGAGGATGGTACACTTTGCCTAGCCCTGCTTCACACTGTAATTTGCAAGGGCTAGCTCATGAAAGTCAGTGAAAGGGTTGAATGGACTTTAATGTGATCAGGGAGCGTTGAATGGAGCCTTCATTCAGAGTTACTGTTGCTGTGAACCTCCTAATGGCAAGGCTACCTTAGTGTCCTAAGTGTGTATTCAAAGAAAGTTTGCATGCTCAGAGAAAGTAAAAAAATAGTCTTGCAGTCTGTGGACCACCATACCTTTCAGAATTACTTTCTAAAAAAAGCAGTCAGAAGTATGATTCAGTTCGGATTACTTTCTCATTGTATATTGCTATTTCTTGATCATTTGTGTTTATTTTTTAGTAGATGCGTAAGTGTTCTGGGTGTATGAAATTATAGTATCACTCATGTTTTTGGTAAGAATATAAAGAAATTTGTGTGTTACATTTTCACCTGAACAGCAGTGATGTCACTGGTCATGCTTTCATTTTAAAAGATAACAGATTAATGTAGACTTTCTTTTTTTTCCTTTTTTTTCTTTTTTTTTCTTTTTTTTTTTTTTTTTGGTATATGATACTGGTGTACCTAACTGAACTGCAGTAGTTATAATGGAGGGAAATATAAAGTTCTTTATAATGAGGGAGAGAATAGTGAATGAAGCTGCATACATCCACAGACTCTGTGTGTCGTACAAGAACCTTGAGAACCGTGGTTCACTTCATTTGTTTAAAATACCATTGGCTTATTGCTGCTAGGAAGCCCACTGGAGACAAATATAGTATGTATATGACAAAAGAAACTTGGATCTTCATAGGCAGAAATTAATTTATGCAGTGGATGGATGGAGCTGTCATCAACCTGATTAGCATTGCAGGAAGAAGTGGTTTAGGTTTAACGTGGGTAGCCACTGGGTGGAGCATCCAGTCTCCTCTATTTCATCTAGTCCTGATGTTGCTGCAAGTCACTCTTTTTTTTTTTTTCTTTTGTATTCTTTAGGCAAGTTGGAATTGAAATCAAAGATTTTGGACAAAGTTGGAGGAGTGGTGTTGCATTCCATTCCGTTATTCATGCCATCCGCCCAGATTTAGTGGACATGGAGAAAGTGAGGGGAAGATCAAATAAAGAAAACCTGGAAGAAGCCTTCACACTTGCAGAAGCAGAACTGGGAATTCCAAGGCTCCTTGATCCAGAAGGTACCTAACGCACAGCTGAAAAAAGTTTGAACTACTTGCATGGGTTAAATAAATCACATGTGCTAATTCATAGCGTTTAGACATTTAAGCAGCATTTTGTGCCATTCAGCTAAAAATTAATTTACTGTGTTCTATACTTGTCTAGATGTGGATGTTGACAAGCCAGACGAAAAGTCTGTCATGACCTATGTAGCCCAGTTTTTGAAGTACTATCCTGATCGTCATCATACAGTGACTGATGTGCAGGAGAATGATGTAAGTTTGTCTTGTTTAACCGTACGAATCTGTTTATCATGAGAGGGGCTTTGTAAAAACATTTTATAGCTTTCTTCTAGTTTATTACGTTTCCTTTTGATGAGCTGTTCAAGTGAAAAGCAAGCTCAATATAAAACTGGGAAAGATTAGCTGAGAATTCAGGAACCAGTGTTGCAGATGTTTACTAGTAGATGAAGAACATAGAATGATGATCCTGCAGAGACTTTCCTATTTTCAGCAGTAGGCGCCAAAAACCACAAACAGTTATTGTAGATAGTAGCAAACCAATGGATCCTGAAGTTCCCTAAGAGTTTTTCAGGCATAACACCGATGAGATTGCAATGACTTGTTAGCTGAAGCAATGTGTCACTTCTGTTTCTATCACACTGGATTTCTGGATAAGAACAGGAATAGTCCATGACATTATTTAGGTGTATATATATAGTCTTCGGGCCTTTAGGCTCAGGAGACAGTTACAATTTTGACACAGGTTTCTTTTTATTGCACAGTGATTTTTGACTATTTGCTCTAAGGAATTGTTTTGAGTCATGTTTTTTTCTTGGTTTTTGTTTTGCGTATGCTCTAGTGCATTGGCTTTGCACTAGAATGGCTATACTCAGTGATGCCAAGTGATCATGACTCACTTCCTAATCCTGATCATTTGCTTTCTTCATGGCAAACACAGGAAATGCTGCTGAGACAATCTGCTCAGCCCCAACAAGAGAGAAAGAGGAAGCACTATTTATCTGTGTTTCTTTGCATTCCCTGCAGAGCTATGGAAGAGCTTTGAAAGGAGTGAATTGCCTTCCTTGTGGCTATGTGTGGCTAAGGCACCTGTAGCTTTGCTGTCCGATTCCAGTGCTTGAGCACTGCAATTTTTCATTTTCCTTGCCGCAGCATTGGTGTGATACATGCATCCCGCTGAGCAAGGGGGCTGCTGAAGCCTCATGCTGTGGCCTGTGGCAGGCTAAGGCAGTTCTGTTGTCTCCATGCCATGGCACACAATGCAGTTTCTGCTGCCAACAGCCTCAGCCAGGTCTGCTGCCTGTGCTGGGGTTGGATTTTGAGGAACAGCCTCACCACCTTCTCCTGAGCTTTCTGTAGAGACGATGCAGGAGAATGTGAGACTCGGCCACTCCACGCTCTGCCTCTGGCTATACCCACAGAGACAATAGCACATAAACTGTGAAAGGAAACTACCGAGTTGCCTCCGGAGTTCCCAGTGATTTACTTGGAAGTGAAATAGCACAAATTCATCAGTTTGACATGCTTAGCTGAAGACCACTTCTTCCTAGATATCGCTAAGATATTCCAGGAGCAATCTAGGTGAATTTTGGTAGAACCCTGCATGTCACACTGCAGAAATCAGTAACTCCCAGGTTTTTAGAAGAAGGTAAGAGTTTGACATTGTACTAAATTTCTAATGTTATCATTCTTCATTTCTTGAGGAAGAACTATATTCCTTCTCAGACCCCTGATGACATGCCTGTCAGTTTGAGACCAACTCCACTTCTCCAGTGGAGAATAGCGATGGGGCCCTCAAATTTTTTCTCACACAAATTATGCTAATCCGCCTCTGGAGAAATTCTCATCTCTGTCAGGCACCTATGTCCATTCTACACCTCACTCCTTACTCCTGTCCACCATAACTTCCAATTCCCTTGCCTCTGGTCGTGGTACAAGATGATAACCGCATGGCATGTGATAGGTTGATGGGAAAGAGATCTGGAGGGTTCCAGGCCAGTAAGTAATGCACAAAAAGTCCAGGACCCCAAGTAGTCACAGGCCCTGAAGCAGTGAAATGCACAGAAAAAACCAGCACAATGCTTTCATCTGTTTGGGACTGAAGAGATATAAGCTCTCAAATGGCTAAACTTTTGGCACAGTTTCGTCTTTTATTACTATAAAATTTTGTAATTCTGTTATATATCAAGGAGAAGCTTATTTAGCACTTGGCTGCTTTACTTACAACGTTTCAGGGAGAATCTGTCAACAGATAATCAGATTTCTCATACTCAGAACTTGCATTTTTAAATATTTGATCTGTTCTCAAGAAAATCATAATGATAGTTTTTGCAGACTATGATATAGAAATTGCAACAAATGTTGGGACCTTAGTTTACACAGCTCTGGAGGGGAGGGGGAAGAAGACAGGAGTTAATGCAGTTGATTCTGTCAACTGCAGGATACCTAAATGAAACAAAATACCCAGATAATCCTTGGCAAAATAAGAGTGTCATTTATATTACATGATACTTATGGGGAGATTCTAGTGCTGAAAATCCAATAATCCAGTTAAAAAATATATAGACTTTAAGTACTGCATTCCGTATTTATAGAGTTTGAAGGGAAAATTAAAAAAAAAAAACAACCCTCAATCAAATGTTTTGTAATCAAATATCTTATGGAGGTTTTTTTTCATCAAATGCTTTCACATCTTTTAGCCCAAATTCTTAATTACATACGTGTTGGTGAAAATTAGGCAAAGGATCATTTATATCACCAGGTTAAGTAAGGCTATCACAATAGCACATCCAAATTGATAGTGTTGCCAGCAGCTCAAGGGAGGTTGCCAGCTGGAGGGGACACACTTGGAGCACTGTGTCCAGCTCTGAGCTCTTCAGTACAAGAGACCTGGACATGTTGGAGAGTCTAACAAAGGACCACAAGGATCATGAAGGGGCTGTAGCACCTCTTTGATGAGGAGAGGCTGAGAGAGCTGGGACTGTTCAGCCTGGAGAAGAGAAGGCTCGGGGCGGG